GTCCGGTCGAGATCACATATCAGGACTGTGCTGAACTGTTGCAGCTATCCAACACCGGGGATAAGCTGCATACCATTATTTCTTATCCTGATTTTGATTGGACCTCGACAAATCATTTCCTTCGCCAGACCAACGCACCCTTTTATGTTGGGGAGACTAGCTCTTTAGTCAAAGATGCTAGGACAATCCAACATGTCCTTCGCACTTCCATAATTCCAAAGGCCGGGGATCGTGTCCACATCACTCCTCTACTTTCTTTGACTACTTTTTACATCATGGCCCATAGAGATTTCAATGCTACAGACCTAATTTTTCGTTACATTGATCATTTAACAACTATTCGCGATCCAGGCCATAGGAGGAAACCCAACCTTGCTTTAGGACACCTCATAGCCTATATTCTTGAAACCAAATACAATCTTCAATATCCTGCTCGTCACGACCTTCAGCCTCCCTGCTACTCGAACAGTTCTTTCAACACCCTTCACAGTACTCGTCTCCACCCAAGGGATGGGAACCTCGGGGGCTGTGGAGGAGGAGGCTCCCGATCCCGTTCCTGAACCTGCTCCTCTCTGCCACCACTCATAGTTTGATCAGTTAATAGAGAGATTTGATCAGTTGGAGACCCGATTCGACACTTTTGTAGCTCACCAGCAGCAGCACGATGAGGTTATAGCCCATTTTGATACTCTTGCTATTCACCAGCAGCAGCAGCACGACCAGGACATGGCCTGGTTTGGCTCACAGTTTGCTGCCTTGACAAGTTACTTTCAGCAGCCACCACCACCACCACCTCCGTCTGATGATCAGGGACCCTCATTTTTTTAGTCTTAGATTTTATTTCCTGTAGTTGCTTATGTTTGCTTTTCTTTCTTTTTGTATTTTTTTCTACTTTAGTTGCTTTTTAATTTCCTCCTCCTTTTTGAGATGTCAAAAGAGAGAGTAATAGGGTTGCATGTTAGTAGGATTGTATGTTTGAACTTTTATTCTGAATTTAGTTGTATGTTTGAACTTGTATTCTGAATTTTTATTTTACACTGTTGTTTTTTAAATAATCGTCGGAGTGTTTGCCATCATCAAAAAGAGGGAGATTGTTGCATATTTGATTTCATGAATTATGGTTTTGATGATAGCAAACAATACGACTGTCTTTTCTCTACTAACTTTTCAGGACTCAAAGATCGAACGGAAATTAGAACCAGCTCGAGATTAGGTAGACTAGGTCTGAGTCAGTCTGTATTTTTCTTTTTCCCTTTCTTGAGTTAATTGTAAATATTTGAAGTGACTGATGTTAAATTACCCTACACACACTTGAGAGATTTAGAATTTCTGTTTTTACTCACATCGTCTCGGACTATCTTATTATCGTCCTGGACGATCGATTTCAAAACAAAAGTTCTAATCAGAATTTCTTAGTTAAGGCAGCCGTAATTAACTTATCGGCCTGGACGATACTTGTATCGGCCAGGACGATATGCTCAAAACAGAAAGAAATAGGTGCCATGATCAATTTAGGTATTCTGTATTTTTGGCAATCGGCCAGGACGATCGTGAGATCGGCCTGGACGATATTACACAATTATGTCTAAATTGATCCAGGAATCAAGGAAATAATTAAGGATGATTGATACGATCACATCGTCCCGGACGATCGTAGGATCGGCCAGGACGATCTATTCAAAAACCCTTAGTTACACCTGGACGATAACTATTGGTCAGCTCGAATTCAGGGCGATGCTCTGGACGATTTTCCTCTGATTTGAACTAATTGTCCGGGACGATCAAGCCAATTTTCAATCATCCAGATCATCTTCAGGGCGATGTTCTGACCGATCGTCTGTGTTTTGAACTAATCATACAGGACGATATTATTATCGCCCTGGACGATAAAGTTGGCAACTTGCAATTATTAAGCTCCTTTAAAGCTCTTCTATTTAAGAGCTCTTGTTCAACGTTTTTTGAATATCTTTGGCTGTTATCTTGACCTGAGAAAACCTAAAGGAGAGAGAGAGAGAGAGAGGATCTTGTGAGGGGGAGCTTGTGAGGGAGTTCACAACTGTGCTCCAAGCATTGTTCCACTTCTTCTTCCCTAGAGTCTCTTGTCCTTGGAAGGGTTGGAAGAGATAAGCTTCAGCAATCGATCGAGGTTCTCTGCCTGCTTCAGGAGGAAGCAAAAGGAGTTGGGTTCTCTGCCTTGTCGGGTGTGGCAAAAAGAAGGTGTTTTGTAAGGGCTTCTCCGCCTAGCTGTGGGGGCTAAAGGAGAGTCATGTTGGTAGTGCAATACTCGGAGGGCGCCTCCGGGGAGTGGACGTAGGTCAAGTTGACCGAACCACTATAAACCCTTGTGTTCTTTTTACTGCTTCCGCACTTTAATTTTCCACACTTGTTTTTCCGTGGTGATTTTGGTTTGTAATATTTGTTCTTAGTTTTAAAGAATTTTTAAAAATATCAATTCACCCCCCCCCCTCTTGGTTAGCCTCGGGACTAATTCATAGGGCCTAACATCCCTAACGAACTTTCACATTCCACAACATCAAAATTTCCTAATTAGAATGAATCAAATAATACTTCCAACAATGAGTTCCTAACACACATAATGAATGTTCTAAACTCAACCATAGTTCCTTAAACGTGATCCTTTTCTTCCTACACCTATGGAAGAATTATTTATTTATTTAAACAACAGAAGAACTCTGGTTTATTTTTTGCAGGAAATGTGATCCTTTTGAATCCTAACTTCAGAATATCTTCATCCAAACTCTTAAAATCTGGCAAAATTAGAATTGACTCCACGAAATCCCTTGTTCATATCATGATTTGTATATTTAGCTCTAATGCCATCATGACAGTAAGTGATAGTGATATTATTTAAGTATTTCAAACTTCAAAGAATTCACATGGTAGCACTGCTGAAATTTCTACCTGCAGCATGCAGTAGATATGTCATCCATTAAGTATTTTCAATTGCATTAGCATACACAAACAATAAATGTAATTCTATAGCAATAAACTCTATCTGCTCATTCACTAAATTAAGCAATACTAATAGGTAGCTCATATTAAAATTTAAAAGATGATATTAAGGGCATCTCCAACCGAACTCCAAATGCATGAATGGCGTCGCTCACGAGCTCCAGCTGAACGACAAAATTTCTGGTATTTGGTTGCGGGTGAACAGTGTGATGCCAATATTGGTGTTGCACTGTTCACCTGCGTTATTTCTCTGTCTCTACAGGATTTGCCTAAGAAACGCGCGAAGGAGAAAGACGGTTACCTGGGCGCAAAATGGAGTTCGATTGGAAGATGAATCACGCCATTTTTTGTTAAACTACATTTTGGAGTGAAAAATGAGATTTTCGGTTGGAGATGCCCTAATGAAACATGTCTTGCTGCAAATTTACATGCAGCAAGAAAACGATGTTTACCATCGAAGTACAATTTTTTTGGGTGAAAATTGGTGCGTTTATGCAAAATAATAGTTAAAAAAAAGACACAGCAAACTTCATGACATTAACGGATTAATATGGCACTATATAGATGACAACATCGGTCAATTTCTTTCTCTATCTTCACAAATCATTTTAAAAGCCAACATCTCAAACCCACATCGGTCAATTTCTTTTTCTAACTTCACAAATCATTTTAAAAGCCAACATCTCAGACCCAGCTGGCGAACTTCCGGTGCAACAGAAAATCGTGCACTCTACACAAACAGTTTTCATTTTCATGGAGTTCAAAAGAGGGAAAAACAACAAAGATCGCATCAAATGCCAATTTGAAGATTTATTGGAAATAATAAAACCATAAACTACTGCAACATGAACACTACTATCAACAATCAATAATACATATGTCAACACTATCAAACCATTAAAACATATTTTAAATTCCCAAACGACCATTTTCAAAGAAGCGTTTGAACAAGTAGCAATAGTGCAAATCATAGCTGCCATTTCCAGTTAATCAAAATCAACATCCGATTCAAGCATGCAAGAAAAAGAAATGACTCCATAAGAAAGTTATTGCTCGAAAATAAAAGAACTCACACTCCTCCGGCGACGCCTCCAGCAACGAGCGATTTACAGACGCTCAAGATCGCGTCACTCGGGGCCTTTACTCCCTCTCTCGCAAGCTTTGCCTCCTCCGCCAGGTTTACAATCGTCGTTACAGCGGTCTCACCCGTGCTCTTCCCCACGACATCCTCTGTTGCCATGGAAAGGGTTGTAAAGCTGAACAATTCCCGAGCGGAACGGTGGGGCAGCGAGGGGGAGAAGATATCGTTGCAGCCGGCGATTGTCCAATGAGAGATCAGAACCCAGAAAAATATATGGTTGAAGCTTCCACTTCGCGATTCAGTGATGACGGAGACCGAGAGAGACGGAGTAGGAATAACGAATACGAGTGAGATGAGCCAAGAAGGCACCGGGAATCGGAGTGCGGCCTAGTGGCGGCGTTGGGTTTATATACGACGTCAGAGAGGTTTTGCGCTCTGATTCTCCTCTGTGTGCGAAATGGCAACCTAGATCCAACGCACGAGCGTCCTCAACCGGCCGTTTAACCGGATAATTTGCATATTGTCAAATTACCACCATGCCCTATGCCTTTTCTGGAATTTGCATGTTGATTTGAACAATACTTCAAATTGCGCAAAAATCATAATATAACATTAGAATAAACATAAAAATATATTCTTATTCCATAAGAAAAACAATTGTACTTAAATCTAAATTAAATTGTTGTAATATTCTTCGTGCAGTAGCATTAGAACCTTAATTTAATTTTAGATTGAGGCTTGAGAGTAAAAAAAACAGCAAAACAATGAGTCAAAAAAATCTCTTTAATTTATTGAAATTACAAAGGAATGATGTGTCAAATCAAGATTATAAGAATTTCTTATAAAGAAGCTTTAGAAAAATCCCAAGGATAAGATTTGGAGGAAAATGTAACAAATGAGATCCTAGATTTGCATTTTTCGGACACCACAAGTGACATATCATTTTATAAGCATGGATTATGGACAATAGTACTAAATAGATTATCAAAAACTAATTAAGTAGATACATTATCAAGTCTTACTATAATTATTCTTGTAGATACCTGCTAAGTGAGAATAATGATTGGCGGATGGTCGCCAATTGATTTGGTTATCCTTTATGAAAGATCAAATAGGGGATTTAATGGAATCCTTTTAATTAATTTTGATCATGTTACTTCAGGTTCAAACCAGCAAGATAGTTGAATGGTCATGTTGAACTTATATAAAAGCTAATAGGAAATAAACTAAGCAACATGCAGAAAAATAGAAACAATAATTGAAATAAAGAAACACACACACACACACACACACACACATATATATATAAGTCAAAGTTAGTTATAAATCATCGAATGTGATTGTTGAGGATTTCATCCAATTGTGAGGATTAAAAAGGCTTTTTAAAAAGTGGTATGTTGCAGTACTAGTAATGGAGCCTTTAGCAAATAACTTATCATATGTGATGGATATCTTACTAGCTCCCCTCAAGCTGACAATGTTTTCATGAATTGTTAACTTGCGTTGTAATTGAGCAAACAAGTTATTGGTTTGGTAAAAGATCAATCGGCTAACCTTGAGAAGCATTGTGATGAATTTTAAGATGCTTCAATTTGATACATATTTGAATAAAAAGGAAATCAATTTCAATGCACATAATGTGAGCACAAAAAATTAAATTATTAGCCAAGGCAAGTGCCTAAATGTTGACACAAAGAAGTTTGAGTGGGATTGAGATATAGGAATCTTAAATTCTTGAAGTATCTTAACCGAATAATATCAATGGTAGTTATCGCTAAGGAATGATATTCAACTTTCATGGATGATCGAACTACAATGGTTTTCTTTTTAATGCACCAGGAAGCAGAGTAGTTCCAAGATAGGCACAATAGCTGGTAATTGAGAAACGATCTTTTTTATTCATAGACTAGTCAGAGTATAAACCAAAGTTTAAAGTACCACTAATATATGAGATAACACATTTCAATAGCTAAAAGTGAATGTTAGAAAATAAAACCACCACACATATCTCAAGTGAACTCCTATTTTTGTGGTTGAATACTACATAGAGAATAACATATGATATCGAGAGACAAACATAACATTCCACACTAAATTCAAATACAAAAATAGGATTTTCAAATTTGAGAATTATTATGATCAAACTAAATAAAGGGAATAACATATTGTCTTAGGAGGCAAACATGATATTCTGCAATGATTTTAAAAAATGAGAGCATACCCTAAAAAGTTTACTATTTTTATAATCAAATATTGTAAAGAGAATTGCATATCATCTCGGAAGATGAACATGGCATTTTATAACAGTATTAAAGAATATAAATTAGGTTTTATAAAGTATTTTACATCGTATATATTTCTTACAATGGTTTTAAGTTTTCCATAAAGGCAAGTATCATTGTTAATTAAATCTCAAGATAGGAAACTCTTAAAAAAACTTTCTACTAACATAGTGGCTAAACTTTTCTTTATTTCAAATATTTAAGCAAGGTTTAGAAGTTAGGAATCCTCAAATGGAATTGGTTTGAGATTCCAATTCTTTATAGAGTATAAAGATAAAAGGTAAGGAATACGACAATTCTTAGGAGCTCAGAGGTGATTTGGTATATCCTATATTAGGCTTTAATGCTTTGGAATGAGATAATGTTTTACGTTTAAATTGATAATTATTGAATCATGTGATCTTAGTGTACATTAGGGTTTTAATGTTTATAAATATTATTAGTTATACTAATTAAAAGTTGAGTTACATGTTCAGGAGATTACTTTTTATACTAATATTGCAAGTAGCACACAAGTGACATAATTAGGGTGAGGACCTAATAAAGTAAAGAAAATCAATATAAAGAAGTCTGTCCAAGAAAAGAAGATCAAGAAGTAAAATATATCAACTTATATTTTTCTTAAGTCTTTTTATTCTTAGAACATATAGTGGGTTGAAAAACCAAGCACATACATACGGGCCGGTAAAAATTAAACCATGTTAATTAAAAATACTTGATACTCTGATAAATAGTATTATATTATATAAATAATATTTTAGTAATTTATGAAAATTAAGTTGGAATTATCAACAAAAATTAAAAATTAATTCTTTACATAACTAGTTGTATACGATTGATTGGGGGTTTTGGAGTGAACTTTTTAATTGTATAAAAATCAAGTGTTCTATCACCCCTAAATAATGCTTAGGTTTTCTTTAAAACAACAACAAGCCTTTATTCCACTATATGGCATCGGCTACACGAATCCTTTTTCTCCATTGTGTCTTGTTAAGAGTTAAATTCTCATCAAAATATAATAAAGAAAGGTCATTTTTAATATTTTTCTAACTAAGACTTTTTAGGCCTACCTCTGCCTTTCTTTAACATAAGTCAAATCTAAAACATCTACTTTTCTAACCAGGTCATTGGAAGGCTGCCGTTTTATGTGACCAAACCATCTAAGGAGAATCTCTCTAATCTTATCTTCCACTAGAGTTACTCCAACCATTTCATGTATATTCTCATTTCGTATCATGTCTCCAAGAGTAAAGCCACTCATCCACCTGAGCATCCTCATCTCTACAACACTTAACTTAATATTATGCTTCTCTTTTAATGGAAAACATTATGCATTATAAAGCATTAAAGGTTTTACTACCATCTTATAGAATATTCCCTTAAGTTTGAGAGGGACTTTTCTATCACACAATAACCCTGATACATTCCTACACTTTAGCCATTCAACTTGAATTTTACTAATAATATCCCCATATATTTCACCATCACTCTCAATAATAGATCCAAGATATACAAAACATGTACTCCTATTAATGACTTAATTGCCTAATTATTTGATATAAAAAATAATAAAACTCCACTTAATATATGCTTGTCCTAAATTAAATAAAGAAATCCACATTTCTAATCAATCAAATAAAAAAATAAAAATTTATAGTTTAAATTACTAAAATATAGGATAATATATCATAGTCTAGAAGTAATGGATAAGAATAAAACTATAATTTTAGTTTAGAAAAATACAAATAATTATCCTAACTAGTCATCCTTAATATTACTTAATTTGAATTTACATATATGGCCACTATGTGTATTAAATAAAGAGTGCGATAATATAGAAAATATCTTTTAATAGTTATAGAGCAAGAGTCCTCATTAGTATGCAATATACTTTCTACATCATCAATCCAAAATAAGAGAATTAGCTAGACATATGATGAATAATAAGCAAATTCATTTGCATTAAACTCATAGAAGAATGAAAATAAAAGAGAGTGATATCATTAAGAATTATCAAAGTTTCTCCTCTGCACTCCTCCCTTAACTTAAAAGTTGTTTCAAGAAACATAGGATAAATACTCCAAATGATTCTATCTTATACTTTCTTAGTCTCCCTTTGATTTTACTCTAAGAGGGAACTAAAAAAGTACTCTAAAAAGTATTAAATTTTATATAAGTGACAAAACTCCCCTTTAAACATAACATTACAAATATTTATAGAAAAATATGAAAAAGGAGTCTCGCACAACAATGCTATAAATAGTGGCGCCGCAACACTCTTAAAGTGTACTAGGGCCTCCGCACTGAAGCATCTGCATCGATGCAATGCTCATTGATGTGGATCAATTATTTAGTGAATAATTGAATCTTTACTTAATATTGTAAGATCTTAATCGTATTGTGTGCTATAAATTATATTTTGTAATTTATGATAATTAAGTGGGATTAATTAGCAGAAAATTAATTATTTAGATAACGAATCATTTGATACAATCCATATTGCACTTGATGATCAATTATGTAATTTGAACCACTAATTCCTTATATTTCCAAAAATAGTAAATATAAAATTTAAGCTATTTTTATTATACAAACTAGTTTGTATAGCATGAAACTTTATTTCTTGTTTTAATATTTACCTATTTAGAACCACAAATCATAGAGTCAAATCATAGTAGATATCATACTGTATGATCCTAATCATATATTTTTAGCTTGTTGAGATGAGCTATGTTCAAATAGGTTGATCTAATGCTCTGATTTGACACCATATGCTCTGAGTTGACACCATTAAGCAATTTATATTTATGATCCTAATTATATTATGCAATCAAATAGAGAGCTTATTAAGTTAAACCTCATTTAGACAAGACAAACTAGTTTATTGAGCTGGCATTATTAAACAGATGTATTGTATGATCCATTTCATTGTACTATATAATCAGTCTCACACATAACTTAATGTTAATTTTAAATTTAAATCTATGATATAAATACTTAACAAAAAAAAAAAAAAAAAACTTAAAAAAAAAAAAAAAAAAGAGAGAACATGTTGATTGTGTCTCTTGACTCTCTAAAGAGTTTGAGAGATTTAGCATGACTTTTCCATAGATTCTTGGAGACAGTTCTTGAGAGCTTCATACAATAGCTTAGGGAGATTTGAGAGACTGTTGTGTGAGTGAAGTGCAAAAAGGTTAGTCAT